AAGCGGTGCCCGATGCGGACGTCGGGGTGGCACTCCAGGAATGTGCCCTGAAAAAATCCGATCCCAAAAACCCTAAAAATGACCCCAAAAACACCGAAATCCCGTAAAAACACCACTGAAAGCCCAAAAACTCGATAATCCTATAGAGAATCTGAGCCCCGGTGGAAGCGGTGCCCGATGCGGACGTCGGGGTGGCACTCCAGGAATGTGCCCTGAAAAAACCCCATTAAAAACCCTAAAAATGACCCCAAAACCAACAAAATCCCATAAAAACCCCATAAAAAACCCCAAAATCCTATAGGGGATGTAAGCCCCGCAGCCCCGGTGGAAGCGGTGACCGATGCGGACGTCGGGGTGACACTCCAGGAATGTGCCCTGAAAAAATCCGATCTTAAAAACCCTAAAAATGACCCCAAAACCAACAAAATCCTATAAAAACACCATCGAAATCCCAAAAACCCTACAAAAATCCCAAAATCCTGATAATCCTATAGGGAATGTGAACCCCGGTGGAAGCGGTGACCGATGCGGACGTCGGGGTGGCACTCCAGGAATGTACCCTGAAAAAATCCCATTAAAAACCCTAAAAATGACCCCAAAAACCCTAAAAATGACCCCAAAAACACCAAATCCCATAGAAATCCCAAAAACCCCATTAAAAACTCAATAATCCTAAAGGGGATCCTAAAGGTGGAAGCGGTGACCGATGCGAACGTCGGGGTGGCACTCCAGGAATGTGCCCTGAAAAACCCCGATCCCAAAAACCCTAAAAATGACCCCAAAACCAACAAAAAATGGAAAAATCCCCATTGAAATCCCATAAAAAACCCCAAAATCCTATAGGGGATATGGGCAAACGCAGCCCCGGTGGAAGCGGTGCCCGATGCGGACGTCGGGGTGGCACTCCAGGAATGTGCTCTGAAAAAACCCGATATTAAAAACCCTAAAAATGACCCCAAAAACACCAAAATCCCATAAAAACACCACTGAAATCCCCCAAATCCCATTAAAAACCCGATAATTCTATAGGGGATCCTAAAGGTGGAAGCGGTGACCAATGCGAACGTCGGGGTGGCACTCCAGGAATGTGCCCTGAAAAAACCCGATCCTAAAAACCCTAAAAATGACCCCAAAAACACCGAAAAATGGAAAAAACCCATAAAAAACCCCATAAAAAACCCCATTAAAAAACCCATAAAAAACCCCACTGAAATCCCATAATTCTATAGGGGATCCTAAAGATGGAAGCGGTGACCGATGCGGACGTCGGGGTGGCACTCCAGGAATGTGCCCTGAAAAAACCCCATTAAAAACCCTACAAATGACCCCAAAAACACCGAAAAACTGAGAAATCCCACAAAAACCCCATAAAAACCCCAAAATCCTATAGGGGATGTGGGCAAAGGCAGCCCCGGTGGAAGCGGTGACCGATGCGGACGTCGGGGTGGCACTCCAGGAATGTGCCCTGAAAAAATCCCATTAAAAACCCTAAAAATGACCCCAAAAACACC